TAATTAAATTAAAAAATGTGAGGTAAAGCTCTCCTTTTTTAATTTAATTAGTGCATTTTTAATTGAATTTATTAATTGGTACTTTTATATAATTCTGCTTTTTTTTTCTAGTTATGTCAGTTTGGGTCCTCCACACTGCAGAACTTGGAAGAGGTAATTTAATGTCTGAGTCAGGTGTGTTGGAGCAGGGAAAAACATAAAACCTGTAGGGCTGCGGCCCTCCAGGACCAGGATTGCCCACCCCTGCTATAAAAGGATGTGGATGTGTTGGCGAGGAGCTTCTCTGTCTGAGTGACACGTGATCTTGAGGTTTTTGTTGCTTTTACTTTGAGTGTACTATCAGTTTAAAAATAATATTTTTGCACATAATTGATGCACAAAAGACAACATTCTATGGGTTGGGGTGTGGGGGGGTGTCCCTGGATGCTATTTTAGTGTCTTTAACGGAGTGGGCTCACCAGCTGCCTCATCATGGCCTTCTAGAGCTACGGCCTTCTTCTTGAAAGTGTCATGATTCTTGTTTCATGGTTCTTTTTTGTCAGAATGTTTCTGTTTCATTGCTTGTGTCTTATTTTCTCAGTAGCTTCTTAGTGTTTTTCCAGCCTGCCACTCTCACCTGTCCATAGTCAGTTGTCACCCAGGTGATTCCACACCCAATCATCCAGTGTCTTGGCTTTATTGCCCTGTTGGATCATTGCTCTGTTCATGCCTCAAGTCTTGTTCTTGTTATTTTTTGTTAGTTCTATGCTGCCACATCAGCCCTTTTTTATTTAATAAACTAGTTTTTGTTCTCACCTTGAAGTTTGAGTCTGCCTGCACTTTGGGTTCTGCCACACCAATCCTGACAGAAAGATACTGGCATCACAGTTACTGGATTTGATCCCCAAGCATCTGCTATGGAACCGTATTTGAAGGAAAAGGGGATCAAGAYCTCAAGACATTAATGTAGATGATTCTGGCTTATGTACCTGGCYCTGACAACATAGCAGCAGTGGAACAAATTGTGAATCTATAACAATCATTTGTGAAAAGGCTTTGAAGATATTGAAAGTCCTCTGCTTGATGCTCATGGAAAATGACCACATGAGATTAAATCTTATCTTTTGAATGAATTAAAAATCATTTTAAGAGAGTCAGTCTGGCAAATAAAATAGGACAGTTGTAAGTTATTTTGTATTGTGCAAAGGACTATGTGTTACATTTTTTAAAAATATATCACACCTTTGAAAATGACTATGCAAAGTAAACATAATTTATTTTTAATATTTGATCTCTTTTGAATTACATTTGTTTAAAAAATGTCACAACCCACTTAAACCACCAAAAAAAAAGTCAAGACGCTCTGGAAATATTCTCTGAATAGAATACACTGCAGTGAAAAAAGCTGCAGTGTATTAAATGTACTATTTACTATTCTCCTTGTTCAAAATACCAAATCTTCACTATAGCTACTTTTTAAAAAGCTTCTTCAAAGCGTAGAGTAGTCCAAGTTGTAAATATTCTTCAGGGTGACAGTTTTTATTTACCAGGATCACTGGGCATGGGGAGGGACATGTATCTTTGTGTCAAATGCTTGCTGTTGTAATTCTCTTATATCCATGCAAAATGAAAAGAATGACAGAACTTGTGTCAGAGTGACGTCCGTCATTACTTTCTCTAMCCCCATCTGTTTCAGCTATCACATATGACATGTACCCACCATAATCAGAGTCCTCTGGAACCCATTTCTGCACTGGCCAGAAGTAAGGAGTCTGAAAATATGAAGCATTAACACAGTTAGCAAAATCAGTTTTTATTGCATTAGATAGAATATTTACTGTTGTCAGTATCTGTTCAACTAAATGGCATTAGCATATCAAGGAATTAGTAAAAATAATAAACTTGTCAAAATGTTTATTTTGGGAGCTTTTTATGGCACAGAAAAAATAAACATTTAGTGAGTCAGTGGTTTTTGGTGCCAATCTTTTGAAATCAGAGCAAGTGATTGTAAGGGAAATAATACTTTTTGGTTTAAGCAAAAGCAGTAATTCATGGCATACTTTAATGACTTATTCAATGACCTGTTCATCAGTGACTATAACCAGAACAAGATTTGCTAACAACAATCACTCTTAGATATCACTTGTATTTATCTTTGTGTTTTCCCTTGATCTATATTTCCTKGGGATGAAATCTTGCCTTGTTAAGATGACATAATGGTGTTTGATAAACAGTATATATGAGGCCTCAGCTGCCTCAGTGGGAGCAGTAGCAGGAGTGGGAGCGGGTGCAGGAAGCAGAGAACAGGGGGACAGTTCAATGGCTTTATGTTGTTCTCTGTTGTTGCAATAAAACTCAGCTGACCATTCAATGGAGTACCTTCATTCTTGGACCACGTATTTCTGTCTTTGTTAAATAAATACTTCCACAACTGTGATGTTCGATATACAACACAGATTTTTTATTTTTGGTCAATAAACAAATAATAAAATAAAAAACACATAAATAACGTGCATTTCAATACAACCTATAGATGCCAACTCTGTTTTGTTTTTTTTTTTGGKGGKGGGGGGGGGGGGKKCTGTTTTGGGATTTATTTTGTTGTTGCCATGTTTATTTTCATATTTTTGTGTTTTTTATTCCAGTGTATCTCTGTGCTTCCTGTCTTTCTCAGTTCACTTCCTCAGTCAGCTTCTGCTGCTCCACTCACACCTGACCTGACACTTACCTTATCAGCTTTAGCCTACTTAATCTGTCAGCCATCACTACTCCACTCAGTCTGATTATCTCTCCACCACTGCACTCTGTACCTCACATGTTTTTGTTGTCTTCCTGAATTTTGCTGCCATATCAGCCTGTTTGTTTTATTTCAATAATTACCTTCTTACTCATTAAGTCTTTGTGTGAGTCTACATTCCATAACTGTATCTACTACTATACATTCTGACAATTTGACTGACTCTACTGACCAGCAGACTCATCGCTCACTAAAATGCTCTTTTATTGTCAGAATTCTGACAATAGAAGTCATTCTTGCTAAAATCAAACAGTAGCCTACAGAAAGCTGGATGCAGCAGTTGCTGCTGAATCTTTATTTTCCTTGGTAATTAAGTAGCAGGCATGACTGACTGCTAATTTTTAAAAGTGGCCAATATCAGCTGAATGATCAGTCTAATTCTAGAAATAACCCATACAGTTAACATTTAGTCTACCTGACTTGATAAATTGTGCCTTTGAATCTAAAACCTCTGACCTCTTGAATGGGGTGGGTTTAGTTGTACCTGGAAGCGATAGAGGCTGGAGTCGTTGCACATCACCAGCTTCCTGTGGTTCTGCAGGGGATAGATGAAGCCATATGCCACTAACATGGTGCCAAAGACCTGAGCATCTTARAGGAGAAAGAAATAACTTGTCAATACAGAAAAAAGAAAACCAGATTTTTAAAATTAAAATTATTTGAAAAAAATAAAAGACAGTGTAACAAACTGATTGGTTAAAACAAATTAAAATGTGCAAGTAGAATTAATAAACAATAACAGGAAATATAATTGTATAAAATGTATAATGAATTGTTTATTATGAAGGAAATGTAGAAATAATTATTATATCTACTTATTAGATAATAATATAAATATTAGATATTGCTTATTATAATAACAATAATAATACCAAAGCAATATGGACTATATTAAATCATATTATCAGATATAAACTAAGGGTATAAACTATCCAGATCATTTTACCAGTGGTAACAGAACAATCTCTAATGTCAGCAAGGTGGTGGAAAAAAATTATTTGTGGATGTGGGTCCAAATTTAGCTAAAGATATGAGTACCATAAGAGGAACTTAAAGAAATAWATGTTGATTTAATGATTCTAGACAAGATTTAAAAAAGGGATATTATTCATGTAGTGAAAAAAACATCAACAGTCTGGGAGGACATTGATATTTAATTAGGAAAATAATTCAAGGAACTGTCAGTCATTGTATCATATTTTTAACCTGATGATTATTTGGCCTCAAAATACTGATCTTTATTTAATATTCACATGTCTCAGTATGGTTTCATTTAGTTAAAGGGATTGGTTATAAGGCTATAAAGGGCAGACAGGAATTTCCTGATCAATATTTACACAAATGTTAGAATTTGCGGTACATTTTCAGTAAAAACATAGACCTTACTTATTTAATCCATTATTTGTGTGCCAAGTTGTCATCTTTTTTCTCCCTCCCCACATGCCGTGTCTTGCGAAAAAAGTCTGGTCTAAAATGAAATTAGCAAACTGCCTCCTGCACCAACCTGAAAGTGTTCATTTTGAAAATTTTACTTTGAAAAGTCAAAATCCCTCCAATTTCATAAACAATTAAATTCTCTGTATCGTATGATGGCAGTAAAGCACACTGTTCAGTTTTTTTTGCCAAACGCCAATAAAATCTACAAGAACAAGAACCAATCATATTTCTAGGAGACAAGCGACCCGAGGCCTGTTCCGCCTTATAACTGTAAATATGTGGAAAACTGAGAATGAATCACTTAAACCCATTTTAGATTCTATTTGTCAAAATAGTTGCAACACACAGAACAAAACAATACACAACAAGCTATGTAGATAAGCAATTTCCATTGTTTTTTAGGAGAAACTACTTTGTGAGGCGAATTAAATTTGTTTTGTTTTGCCCATATGGACATGCCACGTCTGGATTTCGGCAAAAGACCTAGAGTTAGATTTTTTAAGTATATATAAAGTTTACCTTCTGGAGTGCTCTGCATCTTGTTCCTAATCCAAGCTATAATATCACTTCCTGTTTGGAAACAGAAAAAAAAATTAAAACATTAAATAAAACGTTCATACAAGGGTAGAAAAACTAAACTAAACTAAACTAAACTAAACTAAACTAAACTAAACTAAACTAAACTAAACTAAACTAAACTAAACTAAACTAAACTAAACTTCAGTTAAAAATTAAAGGGTTAGAAATCTGTAAAGGAATGAATGTTCCCATCTGCACTTTATGCCAAAAAATAATGATACACAAATATTGAGAGTATATGTTGTAAATGTCTCTCTGCTCCTGCCACACTAAATCAAATTAGCTTAGTAATTAGCTGTCGTTCATGAGGTATTTTGCTAACAGACATACATACACCTACAGACATGGTCAAAATCATTTTCACCCCCATTTCACATTTCAGTGGCATGTGATAATAAAAACTCTAAATCTGGTCCACTGTCCAGTTCTTTCTTGTTACCCGCAGAGCCCATGTTTACTTGTATGTTTAAGAGTGTTCAGTCTTGACTTCACTTTGGCTTTTGAAGTAACAGCTCAAATCTGATCCAATTATGAGCTGCTTTACTTAGCTGCAGTCAGCAGCTTAAACACCAAAGCAGCTTCTTATAGTCTTCACACAGTCTGTGATTTAGATGCTGCAATATTATTACAGAATACTGTGTAATATCATGGTAACATGGTATCATGGTAATATCAATGAAATAAAGATATGTAATGTAAAATAAGTGACTGCATAAATATTCACCCCTGTTAAACTGACTGTTCCATTTCAACTCGGAGAGAGGAATGTTGAGAAGTACAAGTCAGGGTCAAGTAGTCAAAAGATTTCCAAGGTCCTATTCATCCCCAGGTGTTCTGTTAAATCTATCATCAAAAAAATAATAAATAAAATTAAAATAAAAAATAAAAAACAGAAGGAATACAGGACGTGAATTGAACCCCCGACTCTCAGAGTTGAGGACGATGTAGGAAACAGCAGAGAGTTGTACAGAATCATTTGCACGAATGGACCAAAGCATTTACAACTTGTTGAAAAAAATCAGAATTTTCCTTTTTAATGTGTACAAGTGACACAAAGATGTGAAGATCAGACAAGTAGTTTTGAGAATTTCAATTCMGATCTGAGAAATGTACCAAAGCAAATGARACAAACTGTAAATCTCAACTACAGTTTGTCAAGATTGTTTATAAACTACAGTGACAAAGACTTTGCCATTACATGATTAGAATCAACTCTGTCAGTTAGCAAAATATCACATAAACCAMTGGTTTTAATTAAACTTTCAGAAAGTAATTATTAGATGTACCACCCAAATAATTATCATCAGCCAACACAAAAATGRATTTAACTCAACCAAGTTTACAAAGAATGAGCCAAAACTTGAAGTGGTAGTAGCTGAGAGCAGGGACGTGTAGATAGATGCCAGGTGGTGCTTGAGCACCTTTCCTTTTCCCTCTGGAACCTCAAGTGCCCCTGTCACACTTGTTTTAACYGTGTATCTGTGGCTCATGGTTGCACTTCTGTATCAAAAAGACTAGCCCAAATTATACCAACTAAAACTGAACTGAGTAAAAGAATCGAAAGTTGTTTTAAACTTACTCAACAGAGTTGAGTGGAAATCATTAACATAACTTGATTAAGTAAATCCAACACATCTGTGAGAGTATGTGTGATAATGTGCAAGAGAGAATTTATTCTAAGAATTCAGAGAATCTAGGGTTTTTTTGTCTGTCTCTTTTAGTTCTTGCTGTTTTGCTGTGGAACTGACGGACCCTCCTGCTGCCCATGAGCCATTTTGTTCAGGGAGAGGCAGGAGGGTCAATGCCACTTGCATTTACCTCAGTTCAAACTGTTGTCTTTGTTTTTTAAAGTTTTCRATTTTTCCTTGTGGACTTTGGGATAGATCAGTGCCCCTCAGATAGCATCTTTGCCTTTTGTATATGCTGTTAAGTGCCAGGAGGACTGCGACCAGTTATACATCAGGGAAACAAAGCAGCCACTGTTCAAAAG